TGCCACTGACCTAAACATCAATATTCTTCATGCAAAAAACAAACTTCCAAGGGAGAATCCAGCATGAAATTGTTGAATAGCATTTACCATCAGGTTTGACTGTATTCGTGGGCTTAAATCAGAACCAAGGGTGTGGGGAAGTAGGGGAGCGGGGGAAGTCCCATTATACAAGTAGAAAAGCTTGTGCTGGTGGGATAGAAATGCTCTTATGCATGTGAAATTTGGATTTCAAACTGAAAACAGTATCATGACTACATGAATAAATGCTGTTTGCTTTTGCTAAAGGAATGGTAAACACATTTAGTTGGAAATAAGCACCATTTTGTTGTGGATATGGTCCTAGTGTATGATCTGAAGGCACACACACACGAGGCCTTGCTGAAGCTAAGCAGCTCTGGGTCTATTCAGTGCTTGAATGTTTACTCCCTTGGAAAGAGAGGTGGGATATAATGGAGAAGTGAGATATAAAGTAAAATTTAAATCAATAAAGATAAACAACAAATAAACTATTCTGATTGTTACTTCAGGCATTTTGTTAACTACCTTGCCTCTTCTTTTGGAAAGAAAAGGCAAAACAAAAATAGTAAAAATATAGGAATAATGCACACCATGGGCAGAAATCCCTGGAAATTATTCTGAGAGAATCCGATCTGTAGACTTGTTTTTAACACCCATTGTCTTGCTTTGTAGCTTCTCCTTTATCCTTCAGAAGAACTGGTGACAGATACCTTCCCTGGGCATAATGGGCACTGTAAGCAATCTGCCTTGCTTGGGACACAGTGACCCAGCTAACAGCATGATAAAGGGCTGCAGGCAGGGCACAAGAGACTGAACACTTGAAACAGATTCCCATCTCTGCATAAAGGGGGAATTCAAAAAGTTTAAGGAAGGAAGTAATCAGATCATAGGTGAATGAGGGGTGGTGTTGCTTTCAGCTCTTCTGCTTTCCACATCACCCCAGGATTTAAAAATATCTGAAGGAAGGCTAGCTGTAAGTACCTCCCACCATGAAGCATAGTCCATGCGCCTAAGATGTATGGATTCCTCCACAGTGGTGCCCCAATGATGGGAGCTCTTTATCCAGAAAAGCTCACCTGACCAATTCTACAAACAGTTTAGAAAGCAGTTTACAATCAGTTTAGGTAAAGCTTTCGTCCTCTTGGAACAATGTCAGAATCTGCCTACAGATTTTTAAAAAAAAATATTATTACTCATTTGTTTTCCTGGTTGGCTGTTAATTTGGAATACATTTTTTTCCTGATGGGGTTCCATTGTCTCATTGTACTTTATGTTGCATTCCAATGTGAGCCATCTTTGAGATCTTGGCTAAGACACAAGCTTACACACCTGAATTTTAAAGACACAAAAACGTGAGAACGGTGGTATAGTCGTAATGGGTTATTAGGTCAAGTAATACTAATAAGGAGTGGCAGAAGTGGACAATTGGTGAGCCAAGGTTGGATCACAGTTAATATAAGACACAATGTGACATGCTAATAATGTACGTAACTGCCTGCTGTCTTTCTCCTCATACTATGTAATGAGCTGAGCTTGATTGAAAATATTGAGCTTGAATCTTAGCAAGAAAAAGGCACTGTGGGTGAGTGGTTCCGGTGTCTGGGAAACTGGACAGCTGTCTGTCCTGGATGGGGTTGCACTCCCCCTAAAGGAGCAGACAAGCAGTCAGGGGTGTTTCTGGGTCCAGCTTTGTCACTAGAGCCACAGGTAGACTCAGTGGCTGGAAGCGGCTTTTACCAGCTGCGCTTGGTACAGAAGCTTTTATTCTTCCTGGACTGGGAAAACTTGACCACAATAGTTCAGACACTGGTGACTTCAAGTCTGGATTGCTGCAATGTACTCTAAGTGGAACTCCATTGTGCTTGACCTAGAAACCGCAGTTGGTGTAGAATGCTGCAGCACAGTTGCTAACAGGAGTGAGACCCTGCTCATATATCTGCACTGGTTGCTGATTTCTTACCGGGCAGAGTTCAAGGTGTTACTATTAGTATACAAAGCCCTTAATTGCTTGGGACTAGTTTACTTGTGGGATCACCTTACCCAATATGTGCCCACTAAACCACTTTGATCTACAGAACTGGCACTGTTACAGGTGCCACATAATACCTGCTACACAGTTTTAAGGAATCAAGTCTTTGAGTATTTCAGCACCCATACTTTGAATTTCCCTGCCTCTTGACATTGGGCAGGTGCCCTGACTACATTCTTTTTGGCACTTGCTTGTAACAGGTATTGGCAATCCTACGGACACGACTAAATGACTAAACAACAACCCAGACCCATAAATGTTGGTGTGTTTTAATATTTTCTACAGTTTATTTTAATGATTTTTTAAATTGTTTAAAATTGTTTTTCTGATAATGTTGGTATTTTTTGGAAACCACTTTGAGGTTTTATTACAATCAAGTGGTACAGAAAATGTTAACGGGACATGGGTGGCACTGTGGTCTAAACCTCTTGGGCTTGCCGATCGGAAGGTCGGCAGTTTGAATCCTCGCAATGGGGTGAGCTTCCGTTACTCTGTCTCAGTTTCTGCCAACCTAGCAGTTTGAAAGCACACCAGTGCAAGTAAATAAATAGGTACCACTGCAGTGGGAAGGTGAACGGCGTTTCCATGCGCTCTGGCTTCTGTCACGGTGTCCCATTGCACCAGACTGGACTTAACCATCCAGGGGTCCTTTACCTTTATTTTTACCTATATAAATTGTTGTTAAATAAATATGTCTAGTGTGGCTCTATCTATGCATTCTGCTGCATTTTAAGGATATGCACCCTTAATAAAGGAATCTGACCCCAGTATTAGTCTAGGACATGGATGGACAACTTTGATCACACCAGCAAAACAACTTCCTGTGCCAGATGTGCACCCTATTTGCCTGTTTCAGTTTCAAGCAACTGACTGCAATTTGCACACTGTTTTCTCAAACCTGAAACCTGCCACATTACAGTGGGCAGACACCTCTTCATCAAACCATGTGCTGGTTTTGGAGTGGCTATCCTCATGTACAAAAGCAGAAGTTACTTGAACAATCCTCCCATGGCTTGCCTTCTCATTTCCCAACCTGCTCTTACTATTTGGCTAGCCTTGTAAATAGTTAGCATTGGCTGTCTGGGTTGAGGAAGATTTGCCACCCAATAGGGAAACAGGGAATGAACCCTTTCAGATTGCCAGTATGCCAGTAAAGGACTAATAGTCACCAAGCTGGCAAGTAATTTTTGTGAACCACTTTAAGGTGATGTGCAACACTTGCTAATAACCAAGATTATTGGTCAAGAATACTATTGTCTGCTGGAAGCCTCAAGAAGGTTTAAAAATAGTGTTTGTTTTTTAAAGCAACACAGAATGAAACAGGACCCATTATAGGCCCCTGTTCTTTTGTCATCTTATTATGGGGTGCTATTCCATTTCGTTTTACACTTGCAAGCTACATTTCTCCCTTTGCTTTATTCTATCTACCTTCAGCAGCTGCCTCTCTTTCTAGGGCACGTTTTAAGATGAATAGAGACATCCACAAAGGTTGAGCATCAAAAGAAGGGAAGAAATGTCATGCCTGACTCCAGGAGAGAGATGGTATGCTTTGCAGCAGACTGCCACTGAGCCAGAAGAAAAATAAAATGGACATGGAAGATCAAACAGCAAATATAGGGCAGGATTGTTAGCATACCTGCATTTAACAGAAAGAATAAAAATGAGAGAGGCGTAGATAAAACGGTTCCAATACCTTGAGCGATTTAAAAAACTGGACCCTAAAGAGATACTTTTGGCACTGTATTGATTTGGGACATCTAGCCTTTAAGCCACTGCACTTGCCTCTCCTATCCCACTGCCAAATCACAAATGAGAATTGCTGCCTTTTCCCTCCGCACCCAACTGCCATCATATCCCAATCCAAGCTCCCCAGGACAAAACAAGTAGCAGCCCCCCCCGGCTGCCCCCTTCCTCCCCAGCATGCCTCTTCTGCACCCCCCCTCTCCTCTCAATTTCCATCCAACGCCTCCCTACACCAACATCCTTCTCTCCCCTTTTGCGGGGCTCCCTCCAGAAAATGAGGATATATTTGGCTCAGGGAGACTCTCCTTGCCTCCAACTGGGACTTACTGATTTAATTCCCCCCCTTTGCCCCCCTCCTGTCTGGACACCCCTCCCCCCAGCACCCACTCCTCTTCCTTCAGACCCTTTTCCTTTCCTTTCCTTCCCTTTCCTTTCCTTCCCTTCCCTCTCTCTCCTTCTGCCAGGATCCCTCTTCCATTCTCTCCCTTTCTCTGTTTCCTAGAGCAGACTCCCTCCCACCAAGGGCTTCTGTAGCGCTTTTCAGGCAGCTTAGTTTGCAGTGATGGAAAGGGAGATGCAGTCAGGTCTCACTTTGGAAAAGCAGTGCCAGGGCTGTGGGAGCATCCAAGAGCCCTTACACTGCCTTCTCAAAATCAGGCAGGCTTTGGGGAGGTGGCAGGGTCCACTCAAAACAACAACAACAACAACTCTGTCCGGATTTTCAATTTTGAAAATATGGCAACCCTAGTTAACTGCTATGTGGGAACTCATTCCCAGCCGTTCCGTGAGAAAATGAAAGCCTTTCGGGGCAAAAGGTCATCACAACAACAGGGTTATAAAGTCATATGCTCAAAGTCATAAGCCATGACAAAGTGCATGAAATTTCTCTGGTAATAAACTTGGTTATCTCAAATGCAAAGCTAACTTGTCAACAAGCCACCTTCCCACTGATTTCAATATTTATTTATTAAATTTGTATACTGCTTTTCATCTGTAGATCTTAGGGAGCTTCATAACATAAAAATGCAAGATACACATCCAAATAAGTGACCTTGATAAAATTTTAATACTACTTTTAAAACGGCCAATTTTAAAGATAAGTGATAGTTGATGCATGGCACTCCCACATCTAAAAAATGTAAGCTGGGAAAAGTTTGATCCACCTCCCCCACTTCCACAACAGACCCATGCTCAGTGAGTCCCCACCTACCTTTTTCTCAGAAGCAGGCACAAAAAGCTCCTTATATTTTTAAGCGCAAGTATAGCGTGTAAGACAACTCCCATGATGACATGTGTGCAGATGTTTTATCCACTTTGTGAAAGACTCAAGACTCCAAGAAGTCACCTAATTAAAAAGAAAAGGTAAGTCTGATATTTGCTGCCAAAGAAAAATTCAAATATAACTCGTATTACAATATATACATGGTGACACCAACATATGTATCCTGTGTGCCCTTTTGGACGTTTTACTTGGTAGTGTATCTCTTATTGTGTAATAACCATTTACAGAATGTTCAGGTATATCATCTCATTTATTGTATTTGAATGTAACTGATTCTATTTGGTATTATTATCAGCTGAGGAAGAACATTGATTGAAACAGTCGATCATCCTGGAAGGACTGTCCTGTCGCTGTGTTTGGAGCACCAACGTTCTTCAGCTTACTCTCTACAAATACTGCATATTTGCCTCAAGCTTTAGTGATTCTTCGTGACGTTACACAGCCTAAAAATCCCTTATTTGGGGGCATTTTCTTAACTCACATTAGCTGGTGTCACCATGTATATATTGTACGTTATCTGATTGCCAATTAAGACATAATTCAGTAGTGATACAAAAGTATTGTAATTATATTATTAGCCTACTGTGTTGCTTTTGGATTGTCAGTCAATATGTCAGAGACTTACATTCACACATGATGCCTCCCCCATGATTCTTAAAAGCCCCATCTTTGACTGACATCCTCTTGGTTTCCAGGCTTATCCACTGAAGCCTCGAAACCTAGAGAAAGTTTTTTCAGAATGATAGACTAATCCAACAGATTCCAGCCTTGCCTGGTTAGAACTGTCATGCTTACCAAGTGACAGACCAAAGGCCAACCAACAGCCTATCTGATAATAGTCTCCAATTGTGGCTAAGCATTCCATATGAAAAATAATGCCAATGTGAAACTGGCATTCTTGCAACAGCACCATCCACTTGCAATGGCAGGAGTAAGGTCTCCTTGCTGCCCAGCCATGCACCCCACCCTTCCTATACAATCTGCCACCATCTGCCCTGTAACTCTCCCTCCAGTTCTACTGCCACAATTAAAATGACACAGCTTCTCTCACTGACATATCTGAACAGAAATAAGGAGAGAGAGGTTAGGAGCAAAACAAAAAAGAAACACGCAAGCAGTTGCAGAGGGGACGAGTCTAGTGCTGCCAACTAGAGAGAATTTTACGGGCTTGGCCAATTGCCATCACGAGAGAACGCAAAGCCAAAAAGTTCCAGCTGAGCAGTTTGTGCTATTATTGTGCCCATGTGCGCCGTTATAGCAAGCGCTGAGGCATCACATGGGGGCAGTAACTGCATTTGTAGTGGGGTACACACGTGAAAGCACTGAAAGCTTTGTGCTGCTACTGCAATGAACATTGTATTGCTCCGTTCAGCTCTGCCTCTCAATACGAGGCTATCAGGGAAGTGGCAGGCACCATTTTGTAGAGTGCACCTGGAGAGACCACATGAGTATGTACATAGTGGTTGTCTAGATGGGTAAAGGTAAGTCAGCAAGTGCAGCAGAGGGGCCAATCCCCTCCCCCTCAGCTGAACCACCATCTCACACAGTTGTGAGGCTGCAGTCCCTGGAGGCAGGAGAGAGGAAGTCACCAAATTACACAATCCCCCCAGACAGGGAAACATTATCCTCACAAAGGAAAGGCCATCTGAACATGCTTGGGAGCACACTTGCCCTTGAGCCCTTATCTGAAAGAATTTCAGGTGGGGATGAACATTGAGACGGGGAAGTTGGCCATTCTCTCAAACACAGCACAGGCCACAAGTGTCCTGAAGTCAAGATTATTACCAAGGTAACTGCATTTGGGGTGGTGAGGAAGGTGCTCAATTTCCATTCCATATTTTCTCCAGGAGTTCAGAACTACAGCATTCACCACACCTTTCATTTGCTTGCCACCCTTTGAGGGAGGTTAGATGGAGAGATAGTACTGGGAAACCTTGGGCTAGTCACTTTTTGGCGGAGCTGCTTTTTGAAGCTAGGCCTCCGAACGAAACTCTAGCTGTTACATCACACTAACCTGGCTTGCTGACTTGTAAAGTCAGGGGTGCCCAAACGTTTTTCAAGGGGGGCCAGATTTGATGAAGTGAACATGTATGAGGGCCACCCTCCCAAAGTTGTTGAGCTTTTTTTAGGATTTACCCCAGGACATATACTGCCACAGGGCCCACATTAACTTGGCCGGCGGTCCGGATTAGGGTCCCAAAGCGGACTTTGGATGTGTCTGTTGTAAGTAGAATAGAAATCTGCTGGCTTCTAGAAGGCAGACATTTCTGCAATTAGCAGTTCTGCTACTCTTCCTAAAAACAAGCTCTTAAAATATGTTATCAGTATTACACAGACTCTTTTCTACTACCAGTCAAATGGTAACCAGAATTCTCAACAGAGCCAGCCAAGGTTTCTAGATCTGCAGATCAGAGCAATCTGTCAGAAAACACGTGTCTGCCCTTTGCAATGTTTCTTGGGTTCTGCCAAGCAACAGAGACTTAATTGAATGGCTTTCAATATTTAACACTAATGAAAAGAGTTCTTCCCCAGAACACAGAAGCCATCGCTGAGTTCTGAACACTCATTCAAGTCAGTCTCAGCTGAACTTTGAATCAGATCACCTCACAGAATGTAAGATGGCCAGCAGCTTAAATGGCTTTTTAAAATGCCCAAACCAATTTACAGAGGATAGGCCTATCAATCACTGTTAGCCATGAAAGCTGAAATGAAAGTACCACAGATGGAGGCCGTACAGATCTGAATACCAGTTGCTGGAGGGTAAATCATAGAGAGAGCCATCACATTCATGACTTGTTAGTGGCTGATTCCTGTTAGAAACATCTGGCTGATTCCTGTTAGAAAGTGAATGCCAAGGAATTCTTGTAGGTCTAATGAGAGATTGAGATGTTTCTACCTGCGACTTCCGGTTCCGGTCGCGACCAGCGAGGAAGCACGGAGAACTCGCTCCGAGTTTTTTCGGGGTTCTGCAGAGGCTTGGAGGAAGACGCGAGGGCGCCGCGCACCTCCAAAAACCTTAAGGGGGGCACCCTTAAGGGATAGGTCCCTGGCAGCGTGGAAGTGGCTGTGCCGTCCCTCGGAGACGATTGCTGTGAAGACGAGAGGACGAAGGGCTGCTAGCGCGATTTGGGAGTTTACCGACTCTGCAGGGCGACGCCCGGAGCTTCTGCTGGTTAAAGCGGCGGGCCTCCTAAAGATAAGAACGGGGCCCTCAGCGTTTTCTTTTTTAGCGTTTTGTTTTTTTATATAAAACGCGTTTTTAAAAAAACAAGCGCAAGACCAGTGGTGAAGCTGGGAGGTGCCCGATTGTTTCCTTTGATTTGTGTTTGGGAGTCCATTCGGTCGCGGACTAGTGACGACGCAGAGGGAAAGCCGACGATATGAGGTAGTCATGGAAAGTCTGCTGGTGGGAGTGTGACTCAGACTGAGACTGAGAACTATTTGACTATAATGATTTAAGAGCTTATAAAATATTGGTGGATATTGAGGACTAATCGAAACTTGGTGAGTTTGGCTGTCTTTGTTTGCTTGCTTTTTTTTTCTTTTTTTCTTTTTTTTGTGTGTTGCTAAGGTGGACCAAGCCTCGCGCTGTTTTTATGAGGCTCAAGCAGCTTTGCGCTTCTATGATACCTAGGCTGCCCCATGCCCCTACAGTTTATAATTAGGACTTTGGATGCCCCCTTTGCCTTTTCTGGAGGGAACGGAGAGCGTGTGTTGAGGCGGTAGTAAACAGCAGCTAAGAAGAGAGAGAAAGGACTAAAGTGAAAGGACTTTAAAAATCTCAAAGACTTCTCCTTTGCTGCCCCCTCCCGTTTCTCCTCCGCCTTTCCTCTCTCTTTTTGAAAGGATTCCTGTGGTCAGACCCGGGCCACGGGGAAATAAAGTAGAGGCTGCGCGGTTTGACGCAGTCTGGATAGAACTGTGTACACCCCAGGATTTGGACTGCAGTACGTAGCATGTATGTAGGCAGTTTGCAGAAAAGAAACTCTTAATTGGACCTAATTGGACAATACGTCATTAAGGCCTGACCACGGGCAGTCAACTTCCATCGTACCTGGGACTTAAGACTGACGGAGGAACTGGACCCGGCGAGAGAGGAGTAAGAGAGAAAGCCAAGATACTGGGTGGTGCCTTCCCCGCCCCTCTGCCTCCCGCCTCCCCCTACTGGTACCTTCTTTTGGATTTACCATAGAAACTTCGCGTTGGTGTGTCTGGAGGTCAAGTCTGGAGACGACGTTGAGACACCAACTCTGCCTGGGTTTTTACTTTTTACCTTTTCTGAACTCACTTCGCGGGGTTATTATTGACAATCTCAAGCCGACGACGGGTATTTAACAGGGGGGGTAACAAGGGAAGGAAGTGACGGTTGGGGGAGTGAGGGCAGGGGGAAGGGGGCGGGAGTTTTGGTGATGATGGGCAGGGAAGGGAAAGAACCGAAGAAAGGGGGAGGGACCCCGGGAGAAAGAAAGATGTCGCGGCAAGAGGAAATTAAAGATTTAGATAATTTGTGGGCCAAAATAAAGGAGGAGTTCAGGCAAAATGTATTATACATGGAAAACAAATTAGGAGAAGTCCAGGAGATGATCGACCAAAAGATAGAGGGAGCAGTGGGTGAACTCTCAGCTAAGATCCAAGATCTCTCAGTAAAGTCTAAATTGATCGAAGAATCTAACAAAAAGCTGCAGAAAGAGATGAGGGAACAAAAAAAGGAGACATTGAAGGTAAAGGAAGGACTGGGTGAGCTAAGCATCTCTCAAGAGAGGATTTGGGATAACTTAGCCATGGCGGATATGCGTTCAAAACAGCTCCATCTTAAATTCAGGGGAGTAGCAGAGGGGAGAAACGAAGATATTAGAGGGAAAATGATAAAAGAACTCTCGAATTGGTTAAACTTAAAAGAAGAAGAGGTGGCAGCTACTGTGGATAATGTATATAGAATGAGTAGGCCTAACTATTTGAAAGCGAGTAAATTCTTGGGGGATTGCTTGGTGATCTTTAATTCTTTGGAGATGAAAAATTTAATCCTGAGAAAGAGCTATAATAATAGATTAAGAATTGATGGA